AGCAAACTGGTATTTCATTCAACTACTCACATATATTTTGTTTTATAATATTGATTACAATTGTGTCATCTCTAACCACTATTGCTCCATCTTTTCCTTCCTGTCTTTTTATGCTCTTTGCCCTCTCCACGTTATTTGCGACGAAGTTTATAAAGCAGAGGAAAAGTTGGCAATACAGGGTTTGTTTTGAAATATTAATTACAATCATCACAATCTAATCACAGTTTTACCACTTCCCCCCAGAAGTTCTCATTTCCATGGACTCTCCTGTCTTATCCATGCCTTTTGGGCTTTATCCTTGAGAAGACACTGGACTTTTGTCCTTTAAGGGTGGGTTCTACTTAAGACTGAATGCTTTCCAAGTGTTAGCTACCAAGTCACCTGAGGAAGCCCTACTGAAGATTTTCACCACTGGGCCGATTAGCAGCATCATGACAGACGGTGAAGAGTTTGAAATTGTTAACAGCTTCAGCAGCTTGTTGGCTCCACAATCAACATTCTTAGCACCAGCATCCAGGAAACCAAAAGACAAATTGCCCTGGGAATATCTGCTTTCTAGAGGAATGGTGAGCAACAATGTCAGTCTAGAGACTAAGATGCGCCTGATCCAGGCCATGGTCTTCACAGTTCCTTGCTATGCATCAGAGAGCTGGACAGTAACTAAGGATGACAGAGGAGGATCGAAGCCTTTGTGTTGTGATGCTGGAGAACAGTATTGAACATACCATGGACTGCTAAGAGAATGAACTGGTCCATACTAGAGAGGGTGAGACCCGTTTGCTCCTTGGAAGCAAGGATTTTGAAGCTCTGTTTGACATCCTTTGGGCATGTTGCAAGAAGGAACCAGTCCTTGGAGAGGGATGTCATGCTTGGGAGGGTGAAGGGACAATGCAAGAGAGGAAGACACTGGATGAGATGCATTGACTCAGTGACTAGGTGGGTAAGAGATGAAGTTGATTCATGACAGAGCAAGGTTCGGAGCCATTATACATAGGGTTGCTATGAGTTAGAGTCAACTCGATGGCTCTTAACAATGATAACATTGTTTGGCTGAACATGGAGCCAGGTGGTTCTCTGGCAATTCTTTATTTCCCAGCCTCTGACCAAAATGTGGCATCAGGATTGGAGGACGACTCACCAACAATCTGCGTTATGCAGATGACACAGCCCTGCTTGCTGAAACTGAGGACCTGAAGCACTTGCTGCAGGTCAAGGACTGCTGCCTTCAATATGGATTGAAGCTCAACATTAAAAAAACAAAGATTCTCACCACTGGGCCAATTGGCAGCATCATGATGGATGGTGAAGAGATTGAGATTGTCAACAACTTCAGTTTGCTTGGCTCCACAGTCCACACTCTTGGCACCAGCAGCCAAGAAAATAAAAGACATATTACATTGGGAAAGTCTGTTGTCAGAGACCTCTCCAAAGTACTAAAGAGCAATGGTGTCAATCTGGAGACTAAGGTGCGCCTGATACAGGCCTGGTCTTTGCAGTCACTTGCTATGTATCAGAGAGCTGGACAATGACTAGAGATGATAGAAGAATCGATGCCTTTGAGATGTGGTGCTAGAGAGAGTATTGACTATACCATGGACTGCTAATAGAACAAACAAGTTTGTCCTGGAGAGAGTGAAGCCAGGCTACTCCTGGAAGGCAAGGATTTTGAAGCTCCATCTGACTTCCTCTGAACATGTTGCAATGTGGGACCAGTCCTTGGAGAGGATGTCACGCTTGGGAGGGTAGAGGGACAGCACAGGAGAGGAAGACCCTCTCTGAGGTGGATTGATTCAGTGAGTTGGGTAATGCGGGTAGGCGTATCAGAGACAACAAGTTTGGCACGAGATAGAGAAGGGTGTAGGGCTGTTATACATAGAGTCACTATGAGTCGCTGGTGATTCAATGGTACATGGCAACAACAACATGACCAAAAAGAACACATGAGTACTATTTCCTCCTTTCTCCTCTATCCTTGAGTCAATTATTTTATTTTACTTGCGTCTACAAGCAACATCCATGGAAGCAGAAGTCATGAGAACAGATGTATTGGGCAAATGTGCTGCCAAGTTTCTTCTTGTTGTTATGTGCCATCAAGTGTCATAGGATTCATAGCGACATTACAAACAGCAGATCTGAACACCATCCCGGACCGTCCTCATCATCTCTGACTTGAGTCCATTGCTGCCGTCACTGTGTTAATAATCCATTTCATTGAGGGTTTTCTGTTGACTTTTTCAAGCATGATGTCCCTTTTCAAGGGACAGACCCTTCTTGAAACATGTCAAACACATGTAAGATGAAGCTTCACCATTCTCTTCTCGAAGGCACCCCTCTGGCTGCACCTTCTCCAGGACACATCTGATTGTTCTCTTGGCTGTCCAGGGCATATCCAGTGCTCTCCTCCAACACCACAGCTCAAAGGCACTGATTCTTCTACCATTACCTGTCTCTCAAATGCATAGCAAGTGACTGAAAAGCGATTCACAGGCAGTCTGAATCACACACATCTTGGATTTTCAACTGAGATCCTTTCTCCTCAGTCCTTGGGGGAGATCCCCAACAACCGGCTTTCCCAGTGTAATGTGTCTTTTGACATTTTGACTGGTGGTGGCAAAGGTGTTGATTGTGGATTCAATAAAAGGAAGTCGTTGACAATTTCAATCTATTCTCCATCCATCATGATGTTGGCTATTGGCCCAGTGGTGAGAATATTTGTCTCCTTGATGTTGAGACGTAATCTATACTGAAGGTTGTAGTCTGATCTTCTAGAGCAAGCATTTCAATTCTTCCTCACTTTTAGAGAGCAAGGTTGCGTCCTTGGCACAATGTAGGTTGTTGAAGAGACTTCCTCCTACTCAGATGCCACATTTTTCGTCATGGAGTCCAGCTTTTCGAATGATCTGCTCATGTTGAACTAACAGATGCAGGCGTGGGCAAGCTCACCAGTCTGTCCTGGGAAACTTGGAAGATGGCTACCTGGCCAACTGAATGGAAGAGATCCAGTTTCTCCCTCCCCCACCCCCATTCCCAAGAAAAGCGTACAGGAGAATGTGGCAAAATATTGCTAAGATCATCCAAAAACGACAGGGACAGTCCCCTGACAGAAACCTGCCAGAAGCTGGAGCTGAGTTCAGAACTGGCCAGGCACCAGGGACGTCACTGATGATATCAGCTAGATCCTGACTGAAAGCAGAGAATACCTCAAGACTGTCTCCTTGCGTTTTACTGATAAAGGCATTTCATTGCGGAGATCATAAGAAACTATGGATTTCAATGAAAAGACTCAGAATCCCAGAGCACTTAATTGTGTTCATAGGAAATTTCTAAGTCTCCATCCACAGAGGGCACAGGAACACTGTTTAAAATCAAGAAAGGTGTGTGTCAGGGCTGCGTCCTTTTCCATACCTAGTCAGTCTGTATGCTGAGCAAATTAGATGAGAAGAGAAGCTTATTAATTATTAGCGAGTTCCTGAAATGGGTGAGTTTTAACCAACCCTTACCAGTACAGTGACTGTATTTCTACTGTCTTCTTTTATTGCTTCCTGAGCCGTTCTCAATTTTGCTCACAGAATCCTTTTGCATTGCAACTTATCCTTGATGCATGAAGGGTTTTTTTTCCCTTCAGTGACTTCAATTTGAGAAATGCCAAGCAGAGTCTTCCTTTTTTGTTTGTCTAACTCCAGGACTTTGCACAGTTTTTATACTTTGACTTCAAGAGCCACCTTTTCAAATCTTTTCTGAGAAAAAGCGAGGATGCAAGTTTAAAGACAAAGGTGGATCTGCCCCAGACCACAGTATTTCGAGTTGCTTCATGTGCAAGTGGGAGCTGGATGCTGCATAAGGAAGACCGAAGAATTGCTGCCTCTCAGTTGTCTTCTTGGGGAAGGGTAAGGAATATGCCAAGAGGCCCGTCAAATGAACAAGCAAATGTGTGCTGAAGAAGTCACAGCCAGAACACTCACTTCACTTAGGAGGGAAGCTTGCAAACATTATCAGGAGGGCCAGTCCAAGGAGAAGGACATCGTGCTTGGTAACTTAGAAAGCTCTGGGGCGGGAAGACAGAGATTTGGACATGCGGTGGCAGGTCCCTCTGAGCCTGGGTCCACGTGCTCCTGGTGGGTTTGAGTTCATTCTGTCAGAGGAACATTCACCTTCCCACAAGGGCCGCCTGGACCACCGACAGGCCCCTTAGCAGTGGTGAGTGGTAAGGGCTCCACTCCCTTCCCACTCTGCACTTGTTTTGACGTTTTCCTTGTTCATCTCTTGCAAGGAGGCCTGACATGGAAAGTCTCCCCTGCTGGATTTTCAGCTATCTCATCAGATAAGGGCTGCAAGCAGCTTCCACATTTTCATTGACCACTTAATACCCTCTTCCTCTGCGGCCTTTCGCCATCTTTGTTGTGCTGAGGAGGTGCTAACAGTCTAGGCTGTAGGTCTGAAATGAGTGTCTTTTCAGATGTAAAAGAGCCGTTTAAGCAAAGCAGCTGCTTCCCGGCTGGCACATCACCCTGGAGCCCAGGACTTTCCCTGGAGCCCACAGGCCGGATGAGACCCCTCTGCTTCCTACACTATGAGGGCTGGATCTCTACTTGTTAAGGCCAAGCACATGTGGTGTTCCTGTTACAGCGATACTGGCTTAGGCAGCCGCAGCCAGGCCTGGTTCGAAAAGGTCTCGTCAATTCTGTTACCTGCCACACTCAGTGTGATCTTTCTCTGAATGAGAAAGAGGCCCAGGTGACAGAACGGATGCCAAAGCTCCTGGCTTTGGGGATGTTACAGACGCCACAGCAGGAGCACCCAGGTGGCGCAGGGGTAGGACTTTGACCTTGGGCCTGACTTCCCTGCACTTGGGGCTGGGCTTCCCTTTCCATTCATTCCTTTGGGGTGGGGTGGCTGAGGCATGGGTCAATGTGGTGGCAGGGAATGCTGACAATCCGGGGGGAGGGGGGCTCAACCTGGAGATCACCTTGCAGGGCAAAAGGAGGAGTTTTAGAAAGCTTTTAATAGTTAGACGTTTGGGCACTTAATTCCGTGATGCCGGCTCCCACACATCCAATAGTTGGCAAGCTGGTGATCACCACAGGGACCTTGGCCTTGATGGAGGTCAGGGACCAGGGCAGGTGGACGGTGATGAGCAACTCATACCGTGTGCTCATTAGATCCTTGTCCTGCAGGCGGCCGCTGCTGCTGACGGACAGCACGAGGGGCAGGTGGAAGGTGCTGACGACCCGGGAGGTGTTGAAGGGCGTGATGTGCGCGTGGGCCTCCTGCCGGAGCAGCTCGCTCCTGTCCTGGTACGTCCGCCGCTCCGTCTTGGGGGTGAAGCCCTCATACTGCACATGCGCGTAGAGGGCAAAGAGGATGGACTTGATGCACTTGCTGGTCTGGTTGTTGATCTCAGTCGTGAAGATGACCCTATCGCCCGGCACAAAGATGTTTTTTTCCATGTGGATCTGCAGGTGCACGGTGCCCTGGCTGCAGCAGTTATAGGAGACCTTCTTCTCCGCCTCCACCAACAGGGGGTTCTGGAGAGAGAGGCATGAGACCATGAGGGGTTGCGACCACTAGTCCCCAGCCCTCCTGATTGCCCTTCTGTCAGGATACCTCACCCCCGTGATGCGATCTGAGAGGTGCAGCTCAGCCCTGTGGAAATCAGAGGGGGATACAGGCCCTCTCTGAGCTCACAGTTCTCATCCTTGGACCCCTCTTTGAGGTGTGGCCTGCATGTACCTTCTCTTTAGAGACTAGATGATAAAGACCAGAGGGAATGCATGACTTCCTCCCATCACCAAGGGCTGAGACTGGGTGGGTCCTCTCATGCGCGTCCGCACTAAGCACCCTCGAGACCCAGGGGAGGATGGGTGCCCTGACACACGGACAACCCCACGCGGCCCCAGGCCCAGCGGGTACAGAGGCGATAAGCCTTCCTCCACAGCTGGCAGAGGGGCCTTTCCCTGGGCCAGCACCCAGGTTTGGACTTCTAGCCTCCTACACAGTGAGAGAACACATTTGTTTGTTAAATACTGCAATGTGGGGAGCTCTGGTGGCCTAGTGGCAAGAATCTGCAACTACAATCCCAGAGGTGCACGATTCGAATCCACCAGATGCTCTGCCAGGGAAGGAGGGGCAATGTCCTGCTCCTGTACCAGTCAGATCTGATTTGATGGTACACTCACACAAAAATAATAAAAAAAAAATACTGCAATGTTGTTGCTGTTGTTAAGTGCTGTCAATTTGAGTACAACTCACAGCGATCCTAAGAACAAAAGATCTATCCTGTGCCATCCTCACACGTCCTGACACACAACAGCCCATTTGTGGGGGTCACTATGGCAATCCACCTGGTTGAGGGTCTTCCTCTCCTTTGCCGATCTTCTGCTCTTCCCAGCATCATGTCCAAAAAGAGCACTCTGGCTGCACCCTCTCCGAGACCTATCTGTTCGTTCTCTTGGTCCACAGGATGTTCAAGTGCTCTTCTCCAGCACCACAGCTCAAAGGCTTCAATCCTTCTGTCAGTCTTATTCATTGTCCAGCTCTCAGATGCATAGCAAGTGATTGGAAAGACTATGGCCTGAAATCAGGTGCACCTTAGTCCTCAAACTGACATCATTCCTCTTCAATAATTTGGAAAGGTCCCTAATACTTATAGAATTTCTGTTGTAGATCCCCTAGGTGACTAAAGCACATGCCAGGGCATCGATTTCAACCCCTCTGGACCCCAGTGACAGCAGAACTGCCCTGAGGGGTCTCCCAGGCCCTGATTCCTGTAACAGCTGATCTCCAGGCCTTTGTTCCTGGGGCTTCTGGCTGGATCTGAACTCTTGAATTTCCACCGGGGGTCCCTGGGAAGGCATTAGGCTGCCAGTCACAAGGCTGGCCCTCTGCATCCATGCTGGGCTGCTGTGGAAGAAAGGCCTGGCGATCTACAAATCAGCCACTACTGCCCTGACACAGGACACACCACGGCACCTACCTGACTGCAAACAGACACCAGAGAAAGCCACAGCCATGGTGTGTGTAACATGAGTGCAGAACATCTTGCCTTTTATTCCGTAGGTGACATGTTCAAATGTGCCTGGGCCTGCTCGGCTTCTCCTGTCACGGCCGTGGTCTGCAGCCGGGCCTGGAAATGGGGCCAGGCCTGGAGGCCTGCGGCTGACCTAGTTCTCCCGACCCCGTGCCCTGTTCCCGCCCCGCCTCTGCCTTGCCTCCTCTCCACAGTCGCCTTGGAAATGCTTCTAGTCTTATTCCAGAAAGAGCCCCTCCTGTTTGTTAGGACGCTGCAGGCAGCTGCCCTAACATGGGCCACAGTCACATTTTAACTGTGGTGCCAGTGCTTCAGGAGGTCCATGCGGGCCCCCCTCAGGAGACCTCCACGCCCCAGCAGAGTGCCCTGGTTCCTCACAGTGTCGGGGTGCAAACAACATTACTCAGCTCTTGGATTAGGGAGATATCTGGATCTCCGTGTGACAGAGTGACAGAGCAGAGCTTCCCCTCAGGACCTGTTAGCTGTCACCACAAAGGGAACAGATAGCCCCAGCGCCTGCCCAGGGAGCTGCGGGTGTGTGTGTGTGTGTGTGTGTGTTCTGCTCCTCTGGTTAAGAGTGGAGCTGACCCACTCGGCCTCCTATGTCAGTCTTAACCAGGATTCCTTCATTTATTTTTTCAACCAGTAATAAGGTGACTGGTGTAATCGGGATGGGAGTGTCAGAGACAGTACAATTGGCACAAGACAGAGCAGGGTTTAGATCTGTTGTACATAGGGTCGCTATGAGTCACAAACAACTCGACGACTCATGGCACATAACAACAACAACAACAATAAGGTGTGCCTGATCCGGGCTATGTTGTTAATGTTATGTGCCATCGAGTTGCTTGTGACTCACAGCGACCCTATGTACAACAGCCCCAAACTCTACTCTGTCCTGTGCCAATCGCATTGTCTCTGACACACC